AGGACAATGTTAGACAACAGAGGAAAACCAGGAGAGTCAGTCTTTGTCTTCCCATTTGGCCAAAAAGTGAAGCAGCTCAAGCCATCTCACTGTACTGTCCAGGAGGAAAGTATTTACACCATGTTACATATGGCCTTGTTCATTAGTATAATCAGAAAAGGACTGCACTCAGGGAGTACCTATCAGGAGCTTACAGCCCTTGCCTGGTCTGGTGGGAGGGCAGCCCACCTGCACTCAGGCTACCTGCACAACTTATCATGGGGTAATCAGCTGCATTTTGTCTTGTTCGCTAAAAAAAAAAAAAAAAAAGACAAAGTGGAAAATTCCTGTCATGCACTTTCAATAGAAAACTAAAATGTGGCCTTGGTGGAAACTAAAAGAAAGACTGTGCAAGGTCTCACCATTAAGGTGAGGGGAAAGTTAACAGGCCACTTGAGAAAAGCCGAGTCACTGAGGCAGCAGAATCAGGCAATATGTGTTAGGGAGCTCTGTGAAAACAAATAGCATACACAAAGAGACATGGTAAAAGATGATCTGCCTTAAAACCAACAGTGACTCGCAGAGATGAGGAATTGACTTCTATTGGAAAAGTATGAAAGTGGAAGTCCTGCAGAAGCTCAGACGAGAGACAGCAACGTCAATACCACTCACGTCTAAGTAGTGCAGTGCTCACAAGGAAAACATTGAGTCTGTCATGTCCACACGCTCTCTTCACAGGCGAGAGTCAAGGAGAGACTTGTGTGCAAACACCCCATCTACTTTGCACAAACACCTGGGGGTGCTGCCAGGGAGGGAACAGCAGTGCTTCCCAGGTGGTCACTTGGCCAGGAGGACCCGTCACTGAAGCCTGTGGGTGCCTACAGGAAGGCAGCTCCTGTCCTCCTGCGTGGCTGTGCACAATCATCAACTCTCCCGCATGCCAGCATTCTCCATGGAAATGAAACCTCAGCAGATGGGCTTGACAGGGGCTTCAGAACACTCCAGCAGACAAGTTCAGATCCAGTCTTCTCAAGTTAAATTGTATCTTATTCTATATGTGACTCCACTAACTTTCATGAAACTCTTGTGGAGTACACCTGTATTAACCATGTGTGAAGCTGTAAACTAATCAATCCCAAACAGCTAATCACCACAGTAAATGTATTTTTGATTGCTGCAATATATAATTGCTCTCAGAATGAGAGGTGTAGCATGAGTTTCCTTAGAAAGGTGAAACAGCAACACCTGTGTTCTTGTTATTTAGGGTTAACACCCAAAATTTGGAAAATCTGACTACATGCAAGTGAAGCTCTCCAGTTAAACACAGAAAAACCCTGAATAAAAATTAGTGTGAAATGTGAAAAACAACAGAATGTTTGTACAAAAAGTAGAGGAACAGGGCCCTAATACTGCCTTCAGCATCTGGGTAGTACCACACTATAAACAACAAACAATAACAAGAATTAACCTGCATGGGAAAAGTGACAACCTTAGAGGCCAATCGCATTCAGCTTTTACACATCTAAAGAGGAAACCTGATCTAAAAACACTCGTAATTGTTCATGTAGACAATTTTGAATGTGCAGAATAATCAAGAAAAAAGCCAAAGCATCCGTGTGGATAACTTGATAACTGCTGAAAGTAAAATGGGACAGAAGGAGGGAGGGAAGAAAGGATGGGAGTAAACTATCACATCCTGTCTTATTCTGGGTTAGTTTGTACAATTTGGTTCTTATTCTCCACGCACTTACAAGTGTGTTTAGCTGCAAATTTACAGTAAGTTCAAGTAAGGTCAGTGAGACTGCTGATCTAGTAAATTTATACAGTTGCCTACTATTTTGTGGAATACATGCTTGCAGTGTCCACGTGTCCATTTTATAATGGAGACTGAAATATCAGCCAATGAAACATCAAAACATTAGAATTATGACCCAGGAGTATGGATGGTGTTGAAAATTGGGATTAAAGCTATAGAGTCCATGTTCTTCAGGTGGGGAGTTCTTTTTCCTGTTTGGTTCCTACAACAATGGGATCCTGGAAATGCTCAGAGCTGGTGACATACCAAATTCACAAAATATTTTGAGATATTGATGCACTGATGGATGAGGTTGTGCTTCTGCAAACATGTACATACATCTCTGCAGGAAGTGCAACTTATCACCCAGACTTCATAGGCCTTAAATCAGAAATTTAGGATGTTATAGAGTCATTTATTCCAGTGATTCAAATCCCAGTAAATCAAAGCACACAAATGAGACTTTGCATAAATGGGACAAGCACTGAACAGCTTCAAAACTGCAGCAGAGTTGTCTGAGTTGCATCCCTTCAACTGTCATTTGAAGTAACCAAGTCTGAAAAGTGTTGACGTTATTACAGAGTCACAGTTTTCTAAAAAACAGATAAATAGGTGTAAGTGGGATGTAATTCCAGTATGTACTGAATAGAGGTGTGTGACAGAAATATGGAAGTGCCTGTCAGTTACTGCTGACTTTTAAGCAGGGTCATGCTTACAGCCACTGATCTACCTGCCCAATATTCAACTTCAAAACATGTGTTGGAAAATTGAAAAAAATTCCAAAATGAGCTACATGAGTGACATGAGCTCTGGGAAAGTCATGTAGCATGCAGTTCACAGGGCTCAGTCTGTATTTTTTTATCCAGGAGATATTAAGGACTTGAACACAACCTAACAGTGTTGCCACATTGCTCCTCTCAAAATCTACGTAAGCAAGACAACCACAACCTCTGAATATGTGCAGCCTTTCAATTTGAGAAAAAGGGGAATATCTAGCAAAATGTATCAGATGCTGAGCTTTGTTTAACTACTAACAAAGCTTCATTAAACTACTCACAGAAAGAAACTTTTGGAAAGTGCTTATAAAACAGGTGAGTCAGAAGAAAATACCTCTTCATCTAAATTGACATTCACAAATTAATTCCTGTGCCTGCACCACAACATTTACCTCAGGTTCCCTGCACCTCACCATCACCTTTTTATCTCTCATTTACACCTTACTGCTCAAGACACAATTTTTCTCCTAACTCCTGGCAGCAAAGGATTTCCTTTACTGCCGTTCCCTTTCATCTGCTTCTCAAGAAAATCTGAATTGCTGCAGCAGCACTAGTGCTGACACTGGTTGTTCAGGGTCTGACTCTACACATAACTTTAAGACAAAGAGCGTCACTCTCAAGAGTGGTAGCTGGTCCCACCACTGATTCGATTCATTGCCCACTTGTAATGACACATGGTACAAACCACAGCAATGATGCAAGGATGCACTCAGAGCTGTACGGCTTGATGGTACAGAACACACTTTTGAAATCAGTTGCTTCCCAAACTGGCTGCTAAAACCTGCCTCCAGTAAGGTCCGCTCCCTGCCACCTCTCCTATAAGCAAGTCACAAGTGTATGAAAACTGCCCAGGTAAGAGAATGTTTTATTTGTTTAACTTGTAATTATAGAGGAAAAAATGTTTTTAAAGCCCCCGTTCCCCCATCAAAACCTTCTTCCTCTTCAGTCATCTACAGCAGATGCATGAAGAACAGAAGATGGTCGAAGGGCTGTGACTCAGTCCCAGGGCAGGGGAAGGTGCCTCCCAAGAGGGATAGGCAGGTTCTGAGGGCGGAAGGAGCACAGCACAAGCCTCTTTGAAAGGAGAAATGATTGTGCTGAAAGGTAGCTCAGAGCCAACACCTCCAAACTTTTCACACATTTCCCTTTCATAATTAAAGGCTAGGGTGACTTTGAGGAGAGATTTTGAAAAACAAACTCCCTTCAGTTTTAAATAGGTTGAATTACATCAATTAATATAAAATGAGAAGCACTAATTTGCTTCTTCTGAGGGAGCATGTTTCTAGGGGAAAATACAACAGAAACCAGTGTTTACTGGTGCCAAAGAGCAGTGCCAAAGAGGAGCTGGAAACTCTGGTGCTCTCAGAAGTGGTTAGGTTTTGAAAAGAACCCAAGACTCTACATGGAGTTACCCCAGGAGTCTTCTGAAACTGGCCCAGTGTAGGTAGCAAAACAGAGGCAGAGTTTCTCAAGTTATATCCAGACCACCTAAGCTGTAAATGTGGCACCCACAGGCAGAACTTAGCTGTCTAAGTATCCAGTGTAATTGAGATTGACTATTCTTGGGTGCTATTTCTTAAAAACCCTGAAAATTAATCATTACTTAGGGCAGGAGTATTTCCAAGGCACACACACACACAGGCTTTCAATGTAAGCATTAAATACAAGTACATTGGTGCATAAAGCTGGAACCCAACTTTACACCAAAAAGCTTTCCTATCATTCAAGGATATGCAATGAAAGAATCTCCATCCAACCTTTGGAGAGGTCCACTCTAGAAGACATGTTCTCTCTTACTCACCTGGGATGCACTGAACTCAACATAGGACTCACTAGTTAAGGTAGCTCTCTTCAAAAACATTGAGGGAAGAGGCAGTGTAGGAGGACAAGTGCCTATTTAAATGACTGGAAAGCATCAAAACTGGCATAAGTGATACTTGGTACCACTTACAGCTCTGGTTCCCTTGAGCGTAGGGTGAGAGATAAGATGAGACACAGAGGAAAGCAGTGTTTCAAAACAGGGAAGTAAGATATAATAAAGTGGCAGTGTGAACCCTGCAGTGAGAGTCTTTCAGAAAACATACTGAAAGCTATTCCCTAGTAAATGGCTTAACTATTATTGTTATCATAATACAGCTGGAGTGAAATTAAGGATTAGATATGGGCATTTTGTAAAATTCCTCATGCTTTTGATTTAAACTGCACTATTCAACTCCACCGTGCAGAATTTTCTGAATGGCAATGTCACGATTTGCTACAACATCACAGGCAAAGCTTATAAATAATTTAGGAAAATATTCACTTGGCTGGGGAATATCACTTAGCCCCTGTTTGCAAGGCATAAATGAGCCTTCCACAGTACACAGGACTTGAGCTGCTTCTCCCTGAATAAATAACACCATCCCATCACACATACATGCACACATCCTATTCCAAATTAACATTCTTACCTTATCTTTATTTTCAGAGCCAGAATCCTCGAGTTTGGTCCGAATGACAAAGGGAGTAGATAATCTCAGGAGAACTCGTTCAAATGTGGCACTGATTTTAGGAGAAACTATGTCGAAGCAGTCTTGGAATTTCAGAGTTTTATGAGTGTCACATCTGAGCTGCTTCCTAAGACCTTCTCCAAGCTGGAGAACCAGCATGTTTGGATCAAACATCAGGTGAAAGGGGAAAGCTCTGCAGAAGGTGCTGATGCTAATCCTCAGGTCTAAGGGGGACTGGGAAGTTCCCGGTGGAAGTGCTTTTGTGATATTTGCATTTTCATGTTCTTTGATAAGGAAAGTCAGACAACTGCAGTTACCGGGGTTCGTCCCCTCTGAACACAATTTATCATTAGTGACCTGTTCTACTTCCACTTCCAAGCGATATATCTTCTTTGCTGCTGCCTTTATCATTCCCATCATTGCAAATCCCACAATCTGATGTGGGTGAAAGTAATGAAGCATGAGATTGCCTTCAGGGAGCTCTTTGCATAGGAAAGAAGGGGATTCCAGGGTGGCCTGTCTTCCAAATGAAGTTCTAATGTGCTCCAGCAAAGCATCAAAGCCATTGAAGAAGTCTTGAAGGGTCCCACCTACAGCTCGAAGAACTCTCTCATTTTCATCAAAGCAGATATTGAAGAATTCCTCCCCAAACTTTTCTTGCATTTCTTCAAACTTCAGACCTATAGGACAATGGGACACTGATATCAACAACATAGTATTGCTACTGTGTCACATTCTCCCTTTGTCCTCTACTTGTCTAGTATTTTCCAAATCAGTGAGAGTGGCTTTTTCACTGGATACCTATCCATAGGACTTCTGTTTTCTCTGGTGGTTGGGAATAAGCCCAGAAGCCATTTTTGCCTGTCATTTTAAGCTCCCATGCTTTCAGCTCGCTGTCCCAGAAAGCTGCTTGTGGGATTTACACTTGCCTGTCTCCTTTTCCCTGCTGGAAGCCAGGATACACTATAATTCCCCTGACTTCTGCAGGTCACATGCAGTCTGCTGTGTGAATGCACTCAGCCACAGGTGCATTCATTCCATTGTTGATCTAGCCACAAACGAGGCCTCCGCTTTTATAGCCCCTCTGTTCAGCTGCCTCTGTGAGGGAGCCAGCTCCTATCTACCTGAAGAATAAGGTACTGGGACTCAAAGTCCAGGCCTCTGGCTTTCAATAAGCAATGTAAAGCCCTGCAGTCAGATGACACTTGGGTAGCTGGGGGAGGGGAGTTTGGGGTTTGGGGTTTCATTTCAGACAAAATACTTTTCTCATTGTAACTGCTGGGCATTGCCAGAAGGTATGAATAAATACTTTTTTGTTTCCTGCAAAGGAGAGCAAAGCCTTTCCATTTTAGGCTTCTACACTCACCCATCTTCAAAAAAACCCCTTGCCTCTTCGAGCAATCTGAACTGCTAGTAGATGGGATAGTTCTGTGATATCTCATAATGTTACTCCAGGTCTCCATCACAGAACTTCAAAAGAGTTTGATTTACAGTAGTGATAAGGCTGGTATTGCTGAAGGGATTAAAAAATATCAGTGATGGAAGTCCCTGGATACAAATGTGTATCAAATCCTACTCCAGTTTGTTATTTACCATTTTAACGATGAACTGGAAAAAATAATTTTGAGAAGATTACTAAACATTTTTCTCTGTCTTATTTTAGGGAAGACATGCTCTGTTAAATTTCATCTGTATATAATCTCTATATCACATAGTAGAGTTACAAAATTAATCAGATAGGTCTGTATTGTTCTAAGCTGTAATAGAAGAAAAAGAAGTTGAATCAGATGTATGTGAATTACAAATATCCAGCAAGAGTTTTCAAAGGAAATTAATACAGAAATTAACAACATAGTTCCTCAGTGTAATGAAATCAAATCAAATCATATTTCAGTCAGCTAGTCAGACACCTTAAATTTTATCTTGAATTTTAACAGAAATGAAGGGCAGTTATTTATTTTCTAAGGGCACAACAGGCCCTTTATTTTAGTATGTATTCAGCATGCTTTATAACATAGATAAGATCCCAGTAGATTACTGAACTTCTCATTGTTTGTTTAGATTGCTGGAAGGCTTTTAAATTTGGAAGAGCAGTGTGATTAGTGACTTCCATGCCCAAGAGGTATAACAGGGGACAGAAGAAATCATGTATCTGTTGTTTGCAGACAATAACCTTTGATCATCTCAAGGCAGCATCCAAACTGACTGTGAACACAGTCATAGTTATAATGATCAATATTCATAAGGGATCTGAATGTTCCACAGCTTTGCAAACTATCTGCAACGATAGCTTTGTTTGGACCTTCAATATGATTAATAGCAGATTAAAATGCATAAAATTATATATATAAACAGGACAACATGACAACATGACAAAGCATATTTTATAAAAGAAGTAATAGTAATAATTTGGGAAAGTTCATTCAAATGCCATTACTCATAATCAAATTTGGCCACTAAACTAGGCTATTACACAAATATTCCCAGGATCTTTTATGACCACAGATGGTCAGATCTGCAGCTAAACCAGAAGAAAGTACCTCTGGTACACAACACCCCCTAACATCCTGACTCAGAGGACAGTGTGCCAATTCCTGATGCATTACCACTACGTCTGCATAACACAGTATTGTAGTATCTTCCATAAAAATACTCACTATAACCTAGAAAGAATTAAATTCTAACCCATACCAGTAGCATTGTCATAGCTGGATATTAATAGCCAGGAGCTAAGAAATTATCGTATTTGTATGTATACAGAAACACATATGCATACTTTTAAATCTCATTGTTCTGTAGAGTGAACTGTGAGTAGCTTTAGAAGTCTGTGTATAAAAGCGAGCAATCTAGCAGGGGCACCCAAGGCTGTAAGATTGCAGTGGCCCTGAAAGTATGGGAACAAGGCAGTATCAGAAACGCCGGGGCTATTCATACAAATGACCAAATACTGTTACAGAACTATGTAACCCCCACAAAGCTGACCAAAACAACTGCGTAAGTGAGCTGTCTTTAAAGTGTATTATAAATTTACAGTAAAACAGCCAGTTGCCCTGCTGCCACTACCTGAAAATAGGATATGCAGAGCTAATCACTCATGTAGGTTATTGCTACATATGTAAGCCTCATTTCATTAACTGGAGTTGTATCTAAGTATTTGGTCTAATGTTTTGCTGATTGTCTTAGACCGGTTTTGTCATCCACACTGGACGACTGGCTGATCAATCTGGACTCAACTTACTGACTCCAAGCAATATAAATTATACTGTGAAATTCAGGTCAAAGACCTGGCTCAAGGACGTGCCACTACTTTTAAAACATTTTAGCTTTGAATTGAGTTACACACATTACCAGCAGAAAACTAGGTTAGCCCAGAATAGAAAAATGGATATGCCCAAACTCGACCAAACTGCTGGTCTTAGTCAGGAATTTTCTCTCTAATAATAGACACTACAAGAAACTGAGAAAATTAAACAAAGCGAAATGACCTTCTAAAACAAACAAGTATAATATACCTACCAGGGAAGTTTCTTCCTAAGACACACCAGTAAGAGGTCAGTTTTTCTTGAAGCGTAATGTTTTTTCTTTAAATCAAAAACTTATTTACATTTCTATTACACAAACATGCACAAACTGTTTTTTTTCTGTATTTCTACAAAGCTCTTGGCCTCAGTGATGTGCTTGTGTGAAGTTGTACAAAATACTTAATCTGTATTTTTACTGACTTATTCCTGCCTCTCTTACTGAAACAACTGATGAACAGAAGTACGCACTTAACTAATTATGTATACATTTCATTATAAACTTTTCATTTACTACCATATAAATGATCCCGATCTTTTTAATATCTTCTGTGGATTTTCTCCCTACTCCTTTCTTTATACTTATATCTGTTTAGCTTTCAAGAGACAATGGAAATTACCATCATCATCGCAACAAGAGAAAATGTCAGACTGCATCAGATTGCTATTCAGCTGCTCTGAAATCTTGTTTCAGCAGTGATTGGTATCAGATGCTATAGAAAAACTGTAAAATTTGATGGAAAATCATGAAAAACATGGTTTCGAGGAAGCTCCTCCTTAACTGCTACAGTAAATGTTTGCTTGTTCACTGAAATGGATGGAAGTATCTGATCAGGAGATAGTTTTATTAAATATAGGAAAACCTGCTTACTAAAGAAAATTCCCAGAACTCATTGTCTCTATAGTGCATACTTTACTGCATTTGGAGTCTTCCACGGGCTAATTATCATCTTTAAAAATTACATTCTGTATGATTTCCAATTCCAACATGTTCAGCATTTCCTTTGTTTTTTCTTTTATTTTGAGAAAAGACTAATAAATTCTTCAAAATGATCTTTATAACCTTCAGTTTATACATCAGCATAAGCAGTCTAATCTTTTCAAACTCATCTCACATTAAATTATTTCTCTGAATCTTCATTTTTTCATTTTGATTTTGCAGTGGAGTAATTCAAATTGAAGATGGCACTGAAAATGTGAATCAACTTCTGTTCATCAAAATTGATGATTTACTATTCCTTTCTGAAAAGCTGGCATTTCCATCCTTTCTTTTTCACTATGGACATTTAATCCAAATTTTCATCCAGCTGCCCAGAAAAAAAAGTAATGTTTAAGATCTGTATGCGTGCCCAGCACTTCCAAATGCAGAGGCTACTGTGCTCCCGTATTGCCTCATGCATGAACCCTGTAACCACAGATAGGGCTTACTAATGGCCACTAGCCTGAAATTGGTAAGTAGGAAAAAGTCTTCCTTAGTTTCACCAAGACACTTCACTAAATGGTAGTGACACATAATAAATCAAAATCCATCCCAACACTCTCTACTGTTGCCCAAGTGAAGCCAATTGTTATTTTGAGCTTCTGCTATTTACCAACCTTCTACTGAGATACTGAATAAAACTCTAAAAATTCATCAGTCTCAATTTGCTTTCCTTTTGGAAAGTGATCTGCTGTGTTCTTACCACTTCAACCATTTCTTTGAGAGGACAAATTGCATCTCTTAACTCTAATAAGTTTTTTTTCCTTTCTAGTTTATTTTTATTGTGTTTTGTTACAATTCCATTTTTATTCTAACCCATACCAAAATTAAATATGCACACTGTAGAAGGAAACCGAGGCAAAGCAACCATAGAATGAAAATACTGCTATGGGTCTCCACTACAAAGCACTTTGGGATCTATGACAAAAGTACTATATAAGGTCTATTATTATCCTCTGAAAACGTGTCTCAGAGACATTTAGAGAACTATACTTGTGAGCCAGATCCAAAATTACCAAAGTCTTTAAGCACAGGCTCAAAGTACAAATTAAGTATTTCACTGAACTGGCGGAGAAATAGATGACTTCATCTTGTAATAACATGCTAGTAAAAGGTCTGTCTTCCTTTTCTTTTCAGCAGTTCCTGTAAACTGAAAACCTACTACAAAACGTCAAGGAACTAATACAGTATTTCTGTTTTGTACTTTACAAAGTGGAGAAATTAGGTATGAAAACTGTTCTCATAAAGAAAATATCAAATCATAGGTTCTTCAGAAACAAAGAGAAGATGAATGATGTGATAAAAACATCAAAGTTATCCATTAACTCGCAGAGCATGCAGAAGCAGATACAAGCCATCCAGTTATTCCTTAAAGTAAATTATGGAGACAGTGGTTTGAGAA